GCTCCCAGTCCGTCATCTTCATACTGTTCTTTTAGATCTGTCGCCTTTCATTTCTGTCCTTTCTGACGTAAAAGCATAATTCTTTCAATCTGCCTGGAAATGTTTCAGTCTGATCTGTATGAAAATGTAAACACACAAATTCTAATTAACTACATGAGTGGAAATGAAATTGTTCCTTCCTTTCTTTCCTAGTTTCATGCCATACAGACACTCAATTGGAAAACAGTTAATTAAAAAAGTCAAGTGTTACTTTCCATTTAACATGGCTATACTATTATTTGTACAAAATATGATAATAGAGGTGGTTAATAGGTACCTAAACAATGTTAATGGCTAACTTATTTTGGAAATATGGTCATTAGCCAACTTACTCTTAGTAGTCTCGTGATTGTAAAAGCTGTTAAATACCCTGCTGCTTGGATTTTTGGACAGCACTGCTGGAGAAAGAAATTGATTCACAAAATTTTCTGCTCATAACTTCACTTTTGCCTACACTTTCAGGCTTCCAGTGACTCCACTTTTGCAACCGTGTTGTCAGACTTGCAGCTCCATCGTGATTTGTTTGATCTCTCAATTTAGGAGCTTTAATAAGGGAAAAGGCTGCTATTTTCTTTTTGGGGTTTTGTTTTGTTTTGTTTTTCCTAAGTGATGCAGGCCCCGTCACTCAATAAGTGTTGCATGCACTTGGTTTGGGGTTGTTTTGCCTCCTCTTAAACAGTTATGTTGAGTGGTGTCGTGACTAATGCCCTTGCCAGAGCTGAGCAAAGTGGGTCGACCCGTACCGCGATGTATGGAGAACTTTGTCTGTTATCTACCCTAGGGGTTTTCAGGGACTGATTTAACTGATCCTGTTCCCACGTTTGAATTAAATGCGTTTTGGATCTTTTCAAAAAACTAGAGTAATGCTGCTGGCCAAGCGCTTGAAATTAAAACCCATAATAGCTGAAAAAAAAAATATATATATAGAGAGAGAGAGCATACTATATCTATGTATAGTATATAGATATAGTATATATATAGCATATATATATATATAGTATTTCTCATGAGACCCCACCTGGAATACTGTGTTCAGCTCTGGAGTCCCCAACACAAGAAGGACATGGAGCTACTGGAGCGAGTCCAGAGGAGGGCCATGAAGATGATCCAAGGGCTGGAGCACCTCTGCTATGAAGCCAGGCTGAGAGAGTTGGGGCTGTTCAGCCTGGAGAAGAGAAGGCTCCGGGGTGATCTTATTGCAGCCTTCCAGTACTTAAAGGGGGCCTACAGGAAAACTGGAGAGGGGCTTTTTGCAAGGGCGTGTAGTGATAGGACAAGGGGCAATGGATTTAAACTGAAAGAGGGTAAATTTAGATTGGATATAAGAAAGAAATTTTTTACATTGAGGGTGGTGAGGCACTGGAACAGGTTGCCCAGAGAAGTTGTAGATGCCCCATCCCTGGAAGTGTTCAAGGCCAGGTGGGATGAGGCTTTGGGCAACCTGGTGTAGTGGAGGGTGTCCTTGCCCATGGCAGGGGGATTGGAACTAGGTCATCTTTGAGATCCCTTCCAACCCTAACCATTCTATGATTCTATAAAAGCAGTTTTTCCCCTATGTGCAGGTTATGTATTTTTACGTTGAACCTAGAGGTGCAAGAATATTTTATTAGTTTTGCAGATAGCAGCATAAGAATTACTTGCATCGGCAAACAAATGACTCCTAATTAAGAATTTAAACTGGGAACTGCAGTAGACTCTGTTCTGCAGTTGGTGAAAGACCAAGTCCAGATCTGGATTCCTGAGAATACTGTCTTCATTAAAATGTTGCGTTTTAGAGAGCATTTTGTGGAAGCGAGTCTTTGACGCTGTGCTGTCAAGTGTCTTACATAAACTCCCATCTGTCACCGAGCACAGGAGAGCAAGTCTCAAATGTGGGACACACAGCAGCAGCAGCAAATCAGCTGCCTGCTTTTGATAGTGCAGCAAGACATTTGATGACATTTGGTATTTTTATTTCTAGCTTTCGTCACAAAATGCAGATTTTTTTTTTTTTTTTTAAAAGGCCAAATGCTGTAATGGTTTAAAAAAAGCCAAAGCTGTGGAAACACTTGCTTCCTACACATCCATCTCTTATTTTCTGAACAAACGCCCAGGCTGTAATAGGTGAATCAGGTCTGTGGTATGGGCCTGAGGTTCCAGGATCACTTAGAAAAACCCTTTTAAGATGTTTCTGTTTTCTGAAATGGAAACCCATTTAGGTCATATATTTATTATACTGTAATAGCTCTTCTTAGTCCATTGTCCCAAGGGTAAGTACGAGTGGCTACAGCAGCTGAGGTTACTCACAGGTTTTGGATCACAGTTAAGTTCTGACAAATGGTCTCTTGTATTGTAAATGTGTTGGTTTCCATAATTTACGATTGAAACAGATGCTGAAACCCGCTGATACTGGCTGGAGGTGCTGGAGGGAAATAATAATATTTTCTTTAGTCTGGAAGTTTAAACATAATCATTTGTCAGAGTGAATTTATTCCTTCCTAAGCAGCACCTGACAAGTGGAGTAGAGTTAAAGAAGCCTTCCTAAGCACTGGCTGCAAGAATCACTGTTTCTTTTTCTCCCTAATCCTCCAAAACTTTCTAACTTCTATAATGATGGAAATTCCTTTCCTTTCTACGGTTCTCCACTAACTGCGTGAGCTGCATTTAGGGATCTGAGCTGGGTGCCAGGGTGGGGACTGAACTATCCCTGCGAAGTGCTGGTATGTGCTGGTATGAGGGAAGCAGCTGGAACACTTGGCTAGCATGGGGAAGAGTAGGAGCCCAGCTTTGGCAGTAGCTCCAGTATCAGCTCATTTGGGTCATAAAACTGCACTTCGGGAGACTCTTGGCTGGCAGGTTTTGCTCTTGCAACTCTCCAGTGTAGCCAGCTTGACTTACACCTGCGCTCTCCCGGGTAGAAGCTCCCCCTCTAGCTATGTTCCAGAGAAACTAATTAGGTGGTTGCCTTATTTGGAAGATCTTTCAGCTGTTCAGGGTGGGTTTTTTTCCCCTTGTTATTTTCTGCTGTTAAGAAAAATAGGTTGTTATCTTTTTAGCTTCATGGAATATTTATGTCAGGCAGAGGCATGAGCCTTTGGGCATAAACCAGCCCAGTAAACTGTGTGGTAGGGAACATAGTAGCTGAGATGGGTAATTGCCACAAATCTTGTTGAACAGTCGAAGTAAAGGTTAAGCAGCTGGAACATGTTAATTTTTTAAAAAAATTAATGTGTACCTTCCAATATGGAAAGAAGAAGCAAATCTGACAGTGTGAGCTCATTTACTGAAGCTAGCTTTTTGATTACAAAGAGGAAAACAAGAAAGTATCAGAATGATTTTATATTTTGCAGTTGATATCAAGAAATGTTAGCAGTTTGCAAGAAAGCAAGTAGCTTGCAAGCAATCACAGATACTGTACTTGAAATGATTACTCCAACTGTATGATACAGAAAAAAAGAAACCCTGGATGGCAAAATACACATAAGCGAGGCCTTTATGTTACTTGTTCTTTCCATTTTTCTTCTCTTTTCCTTAGAATAGGATGATTGCCTGTAAGTGTCAGACTGACTGCTGACCACAGCGACAGGACCAACACAAGTTTCCATAAAGACATTCTTTCTCAATTGCGTATCCTGTGGTGATACTGCAAGTCGTGCCAAAACGTTCCCGCATTGTCCCATGATATATTTGCTTCTGTAGTGTAGGTGATTTATGGGTTTTTTAGAGTCTTCCTGTAAATTATGTATTTTATTTTTATAGGGCACTGGTAGTATTTCTTCTTTGATATGAAAGCGAGTGTGTTACTTACTTAAATAAGACAATAAATAACCCATCTGCCCTCTTTCCAAAACCTCTATGGTGGCTGACCCACATATGCTGTCTTTGTAACCAGGTTTGGTAGATACTTGCACTCCATTCGGTGCGCAAGTTAAGCACTCTTCCAGTGCTTCCATTTCTTCCACTGAAATGTTGGCAGTTTTGGAACTACTTTTTTAATACGTTAGTGAGTACTTAGAAAACAGATCAAGTTAAATATTGCTGAAGATTTCCTGGAAAACTCTCGGTAAAAGTGGAATGGATTATTGAGAATTTGTTTGTACTGCTGATTCCAGAACATTTCAATACAAAAGTAACTGAAAAATAGCATTTTGAATATGCAATTGTTTATGTATGTGAGATCATTTCTGTAAACCCATAGCCTTTTAAATCTTTTGCTTGCATTTGTCTGTGTGCAAGCTTTCTTTGATCTACTGTAGCTTTTAACCATTTTTGTATTCTTGTTAGCATGAAAACTTTTTTTGCCCCTTTGCAGACAATCTTTTCCATATTTGCATGATCTGATCTTATTCATAAATAGCAGTTTTTACCTTTGAAAGATCTGTTTCTCTTCCTTACATGATTTTATTACTCTGATTTCAGAATCTATAACCACATTACACAGACTACTATATTTCAATATATATGAAAGTCTGTCACTATTCAGTTTAAACTATTTCTCATTGTTTATTTCTCTTCACAACTAACTTGCTGGGAATTTCTCCTTCTACAAATATGAACTGTCTTAAATTGAACAAATAACAGTAATTTTGGTATGAATGGGATCCTTACCAAGTTGGTAACGTTTTCTGTGTTGTAGCTTAACAGATGGGAAAGGTGGCTCATTTTTTTTTCTATGCATAGCCCAATTTTAGAAATATTTAAATTTCTATGTGTAGTTTTTCCTCTGGCATGCTATTATCTGACGTACTTTCATACTCAAAACTTAAGCTTTTTTTTCTTGCATTTAAGGTCCACTTTCCAATTAAGAGAAGTACATTCAAATAGTATTTCAAGTTACTTTTTCAGTATTACTATTTAAGTCATGAAACACTCAGTAGACTACCCAAACAACATAATTCAACAAATGTCAAAAATTAAGCTTCAGTTTTACTTGAGGGTGATGCCACCATTCATTTATGTACTCATTTTCTTTTCATTGGAAGAATCTGAAGAAGATTCAAGAAATGGACAAAGAGGCAAGTGATGAATCCAGCACAGATCTTGATGACTTGAAAAATGCTGACTGGGTAAGACAACAATTGAATACTGATTCAGCATCATTGCTAGTAGTTTATATTTCTTTATAATGCTTACCTAAAGTTGTTTGGTTTTCAGTGTGTTTTTTTAACATATGAATCAATAGTAAGTTATGACAAGTTAGAACCAAACGGGGTCTCAATGTTCCTTTGCAGACAGATGAAACAATACAAGCATCCAAGCATTACATTTTTTCTTTAGACTGTCTTCATGGAGAAGCTTTTGCAGTTTAAAAAGACTGGACATTTAGACAGGTGTCATGCTGGCTGCCTTTCAAAGGAGCAGCCAGGCAGTAGGCAGGGCCACCAGCTGAGTTTCTCCAATGGTGAAAGAAAAATGTTACAGAGAAACTCTCAAGAGAAAGTAGCTTGTTTTATTTTCTAGTTACTATTCTTGCCAGTTTGTAGAGGAATATTATGAGATTCTTAAAAGTACTTGATTTCAATCTCCCAATCTCCTATCCACCATCTATTCTTCCTCCTCTCCAGCCATTCTCACTGCCTGAAAAATGAGAGAGAGATTTTAGTGTGTGGTGCTCTTACAGGCAGAGCAAAAGGAAGTTGAGTACTGAGAGGATATTGATAGGCCTTAGGGTTTGGAGTCCTTTCTAAAATTTCTATTTGAAGAACAACTGCTGGGAAATTCTGCAAGAAAGTTCTGAGGCTAAGGGAAACAAAGTTTCGGATTCAATCTCTCTTTTAATTCATATAATATTAGCTATAAGTCTAGAAACTTTCCTGATGTGCTGGCAGTATACTTGAAATGGAAATATAGATGTATGGTATGAGAATTGGAAATCCCTTTTCTGTATTCTCTTAGAGATGAAAATCACTTGAGGTGAGACTCTGCAGTGCTGCTGAGTTGCAACGAAGTTTTCTTACATTCATGAGGGTTAAAAACAGGCTTGTATAAAATAACCACAGATAAGATGGGTTTTGGTTGATGTGTTAAAATAAAATAGTACAGCTGTACGTATTTGGTGATGTCCTGAAAGGAGAGTGAACAACTTTGTTTTAATCTGAGGTGATCTTCAAGGTTAAGGTATGAAATAAAATTTCGCTCTTCTCTTCAGGCTCGTTTTTGGGTGCAAGTGATGCGAGATTTACGGAATGGTGTTAAACTTAAGAAAGTTCAAGAGCGTCAGTACAACCCACTCCCAATAGAATATCAGCTCACACCCTATGAAATGCTGATGGATGATATTAGATCCAAACGCTATACATTAAGGAAGGTCATGGTAAGTCAAGAGAATCACTAGAATTTGTCAAATCTGAAACGTTCTTCTCCATCTTAATCTTCTTTTCCTCTCTTTTTTTCTGAGAACCTTGACATTGTGGTTTCTTGTAGATAGCAACGTTCCTGTTTTTTATTTGTCATCTTAAATTTGTGTATTATGTTGAGGGGAAAATCATGAAACCAAGAAATGTTGCGTATTTTGCTTTCCATATGGCAGGCATTTAAAATTCTTAAAGACATACCTACATATCATATGCTTGAACAAATTACTTGTATTGATTTTATGATAACCTTAACAGTCATATCAAAAGTCCTGTCATGCTTTCCACCGAGAGATTGTTTTAGGCTTTTGTTACTGAGGAGAACATTCATCTTGAGTTACAACATAATTTTTGGAATTCCAGAATGTAAAGTGCTACCGTGCTGTTACATGAGTAATACTGTGACAGGAAAGGAAAACCTATATTTTCAAAATATTTGAAAAATTGTATCACCTACTACCTATATTGCAGTGTTTGAAAACTTACATTACCATGATCTGTTACGAATTTTCAAGGAATACACTATGTAAAAAGTTTTAAATCTTCAATTTGTAGAAGTTGAGCTTACTTAGTTTCAGCATATCCTGTTGCTACTTTCAAGTCAAGACAATATGTCAAAGCAAGCTGGAGAGTGTTGATGGGTCTCCTCCTAGATAATCATAAAGGTGTATGTAAGCTTGACTTGAGATGCTCTTTTTTCAGAATCAATTTGATATTTACTAGTGTCTTCCTATTCTTTCTTTCCTTTTGGTTTATGTTGTGTTCAACATTAAGATGTTCTTCCTGATAAGCTAGCAACTGATCTAAAGGGATCCCTAGTAGGACATTTTAAACCCCTTTCAGAGGCACCTATTTAGTGAACGTCAATATTTATACCCTGCACTTACTGATCTTTGCCTGTTATTAGTTACAGTGGAAGCATCATCTTAGAATATTCAGTGTTCAAATGTGTTTGCTTTCCTGACAAAATCTCACTAAACTTTTGTTAGTGAGAAAGCCATGATTCCACTTGAAAAATTAACACATAGGGATGGGAGGAAAGTGAGACAGAAGGTGCACGTAGTTTGTTCTATCAGAGATCATTAGAAAAAAGAATAAAGGAGGAAAAAATTGGAACAACTACATGGGGAGCAAATAAATTAGTTCTGTTACAAATACAAATGCCTTTTATGTATGAGCCGAAATTACTTTCCTAATCAAGATCTGGATTTAGGCTATCAGATTGTATTTGTTCTCTGCAGCAGATGTCACTTAAGTGTTAAATCAATAGGATAAAATACATCCTCAGGTAATGATGTTGTCTGTCTTTCTGCTAACAATTCAGAGAACTGTGTGAAGTGTTCATACCCTCTGCAAAAAAGGAACAGTCCCCTCAGGACTTTGATTACTGTATGCAATCAGGATAGTAGTTTTGTTTGAATGGGAACCCCTGGGTCATCTCATTTTGCTTTTGCCAGACTAGCTTTTAATTCATCTTATGCTGAGCAAGCTCCTGCCTCTTCAGAAGAGATCTTCTTCATTATATGGTAGGTCTTCGAGGCACAGCTGCTTCTCTGCTCATCCAGACTCTTGCTGTATACGAAATCCCTGCAAGCATCTATTTTTTGTCCTGTTATCATGTCTACTAGGTGAATTCTCCAAAGTGACCTCTGAGCGTAAACACGAATTGGGATTACAATCAGCTGCAGGTATAGTACCTGTAGCGCTGTCTGTGATGCAATTGCTGGCTTAGTCTGACAACTACTAATGATGTTGTCTTAGAAAAAGAACTTATTTTTTATTAGAAACCTTAAATTCGGTGACTTGAATTCTGCTGCAGGGTCTGCCTGAAGAATGTGCAAAGCATGCACAATAATAAGACTGCAGCTTTACATGAAATGTGTGGAGCCTGAAGGACTCACATAGAATTACAAGTTTAGTTGGATCCCATAAATAAAGCATCTTTTAGCTAACCGTCATGCGTCAAAGCTGATTATATATATTCCCATCAGAGAAAAGTGTCGCGATTCTTGAGGAGAAAAGGACAAGAATCCTAAATCTGAGATTTAAGGCAGCCTCAGAAAGATGGATTATGTTTCTTTGTATCAGCCAAAATAGATGTTTGACAAAATTTTTATTAAAAGCATTTTTTGCTTTAAATTTATCGGTAGTATTTTTAGACTTGGTAGCTTGTGAAAATGCATGTGCTACTAATGATAAGAGATTAAGTAAATTTTTTAAGTGAATGAAATGCAACATGAAGTCTTTACTGTCCTTTTTATTAATGTAATGCTGTATTTAAAAGAGTAGCTTGATCTGTTCCTGACTGCTCAGTACTCTGAGTAGAAATTACAAAAGGAACAGATGTTCCTATTAGGTGCAGTACTTAGGAACTATTTTGGTGTTTCAGGCTATCAAAAGTGTTGAGTTTTCAGATGCCGATAACTGGAGCTGCCTGTTCGCGCCCATCTTCTATCATAGTGCAAATGTTCAAAATGTTTTGAAGACGTAAAATGTCAAATTCTGGGCTTTTTGTAAGTGACTGGTTTAATTCGTTTCGGCGACGTTGGCATTTCTATTTCAGTACATACGAAAATAATTTCAAATTTATCATCTCTGTTTCTCTGATGCAAGAGTCCTTGTTTCTATGGTTGTTGTGGGAACAAGATGACTTTCATCCTGGCATTTTGTAATCTTTGCATGACTACCTGGAGAGATTTAATAGCATTTTTCTGCTGTGGACCACTCACTCCAAAAAGGTGAAAATTGTGAACATTGTTAGAGTCAATGCTTGGAAATGAGGAAATTTAAGAATTAAATTACTCTTACAGGCTTAATTTTTCTTTGTTATGAGTATTGATTCACAATTAGCTCTCTTTCCTGCCAACCTCCCCGCCCACCCCCAAGATGTGCATCATTCTCTGTATTTCTTGAGCAGTGCTTATTGCACAGTAACTGATGCTGTAAAGTACCTTTTATGTAGTATCCAAACTTAGCATTACATTGCGTAACAGTTAAATTCTTCATAGGTAGCTGTGCTCTTGTCTTTATATTTGAGCTCTTCACAAATACTTGATGCAGTGGTATCAGCTTGGCCATGTTGCAAAAGGGCATGTAGGCATATAGATTGAAGCTATTTTTATCAAAAATACGCAGTAATTTGAATGTCTGATCTGAGAATCTTGTGGCATGACTGGATATTTTAACAAAAAATATTTATTTCTTTACAGTATTCAGCATCTTACACTACTTGTATTAATTTCAAAAGCAGTTGCGCATGGATAGTATTTTTATAGGTGAGATTTCAGATGTTTCGAGCTGAGCATAGAGAATGTGAGGAAGAGACTTTGACCAGTTTGTCCAGCCGAGCGTTGTAGAGTCTGTTGTTCTCTTATGCACAGGTCTGATTTAGTTTTACTGTGTGGTATTCAGCTTCTTTAAGCAGGGAACTATCATTTTTCATTTTCTGCCTTTGTCATATGTTTCTGCAGAAGCTTAGGAGTCATCCTAGGTAGAGCAGTGAGCTTTACGGTTCCTAATCATGCTTTAGGGGTATTCAAAGAAGGAGTGACTCTGTGTAAGCACTATGCTTAACGTGGGGTGTCACAAACTTGTATCTGTAATAGAAGTGCAGGAACAGCAGTGTGAATACAGTGGCTTACCATGTGAAGTACCAAAGCACTTTGTCCTTGGACGCTGTTGCTTGAGCTTGCTGTGGGCTGTCCAATACGCACTGTGTAACAACCATGTTAAAAAAAGCACTATACTGTCTGCATAGTGACAGATGGCAAATATACACCAACTTATAATACTTAAATTCACAACAGAACGTTTATCATGATCTGTTCTGGAAATTATGTAGCATGCCCTCTCTGTCTGTTTCAGTGTCCATGCAATTTCATTTTAAATGAAAATTTCTAGGTAGTGCAAACCAATATCAGTTTCATGTTGCCTATTATTTAGAGATAGCATTCTCCTACTTAATGCTGTTACCTTTTATAGAGAGACAAATAAATGGCTGAGATAATTGAATGTCAGTGAGAAGTGACGTATTTTTCGTGAGTCATGTGCAATGTGCTTCTTGTTTGGGATCACCGTTTTTAAAGCTCAAGCTTCAGCCAAAGGTTACTAAGTACCATTTGCAGTTATATTTTTAACTGCAAATCCATGTTTCTATATTAAACTGTAGCAGGTTGTGAGTGAGTAGATGATTGCATGGTAATTTTTCCGTGCTTTAGCTCTTCGGATCTCTAAATTTCTGGTTGATTTTTATAATCATTGGTTATGCTTTCCTCACGCTGCCAGTTTTAATGCATATTGCTGTACAAAGGCCGTTTTACACACATGTAGACTTAGGATAGTTTTACAGTGTTTTGAGGTATTTATTTAAATACTAGTTTGCAGTTGGGGCCAATCTGGTATGTGAAAAAAAAAAAAAAAAAGATAATATTGGTGGGTTTTTTTCTTCCCCTGCATGTCTCATGGCTGCATCTGTGCAATATATTTCTGATTTTGACTTTAATCAAGAGCCATGAATTTTAATTAATTAAAAGATGCATGTGAAATTCCTCATTACAGAGAAAGTTAGTTTGAATAAAGAAATAGTTCTAATGTGGACAGAGGGGATAAAAGCTTCCCTTCAGTGCCTTTCCTATCAGTATCTTGTTTGGGTGCCAAGTATGAGAAGGTACATTCTGCCACCAGTGCTTCTGCTCTTGGCTTGTTGGCTGTGAAACATCCACTTGCTTTGCCACCACCTCCCCATGTGTCCTGAGGAAAATCACTTAAGCAAATCTTACATTTCACCTTTTCCGATCGAATGGGAATACTGATTCTCATTATACCCTGGTGGCATTAAGTCAGGGCATAGAGTGCCCTGAGGTGAAAGGCTCCAAGCCATGTATTATTTATTTCCTATTGTCATGCAGAGGGTTGTTCCCCAAGGCTGGAACGGAGGTTATCAGTTTACAAAATGGCTGTTCTGATGGTAATAACTCTCAACTTCAGCTATCAACTTTGACATCTGATGAACAGTAACTCGGGGAAGAGAGACTTCTCATTTCATTAACAATCCTGCGAAGAATGCTGGCCTCAAAAAACTGCTCCGTCTCTAAACAGAAGTAGTCAGTCACACTACTTAAAATAATATTCTCCTCATCATAAAATGTCAAATCATCCTTTAGTATAAACCTTTCGATTTTTTTTTTCTGCACTATTTTTGGGAAGATGATACCTGTTGTAGAGTTTAGCAGCTTGGTATTCTGTGCCAAGCAGTATGAAATTCACTCTAAGGAAGCTAAGGGAGTGAGTGGGAGGAAGAAATAGAATTTGGACCGTGTCTGGTGTAGGATATCTCCAGAAGGAGTCCTTAGGAAAACAATGAAATGTTGCCCAGGAGGGACTCTGCAGCTGCTTCCTTATCCGGGAACGGATGAATCTTCTCTGGGAGGCTGTCGCTCTGCCTCAGCCTGGAAACAGGACATGTCTGACTGAGGTGAGCAGAGCTTATATGGAAGCTGCATGGCATTAGTGAAGTTCAGTTAAAGATCATATTCAGGTGACCTTATGGATGTTTAAACCCATTTTTCTGACTGCAGCATTCCTTCTGGTTAGCAAAAGTCCATGTGATTTGACAAACCAGAACTGTGTCTTTACATACATTTTCTGGCTACAGAGCTTGTATGAATAGAGTCTCCCAAAGAAAAATGAGCCAACTGACCCTTAAAAAAGAAAAAAAAAAAGTACTGAAATTTGAGACACTTGGTCTAAGAAATAAAGCGTCATGGGAATTCCTATCAAATTGGAGGACAGGGCTGATAGCCAGCTACTGTGTAGTGACAGAAGGTACTAAAAGGATGTATGGTGTAGGATACTCTTTCATCCCTGACAGTGTACTTGGGTACTGTGCTATAGGAAGACTGAACCTGACAGGTGGATTTTTTTTTAAGCAAATCCATCCATTTATTGCCAGTTTACAATTCATAAACTCTTCGCGTGATAGGAAAACTTCCATTGCCTTCTTTTATATCCTGTACGTACAGTGAATTGCTGATATCTTTCTGGAGAAAACCAACCAACCAACCCTCATCCAGCCCCTCTCTACAGAAATGTATGATTTACAGCAAGGAAACGCACCTCCTGCACTTCCAATGGCATGCCATGGCATTCTAATGATTTACCTTTCTAGACTTGTTAACAAACTTCATTTTACACTCGAGTAATCTTTAAAGTGCAGGGGGAGAGGTAGTTATGAAAACATGCTCAGGGCTTCCCTCTCCTTCTGCTGGGATTTACACACAAGGACACCTCTTCCCAGCCAGAGCAGCAGAGACAGGTAGTAAAAACAAAAAACCAAGGGGAACATATTTCTCATCCATTGCTACAAGCAAATTGTTGGTGATTATGCCAGCTCTAGTTTTACTTTCCCGTCAGTGCTTGGGAGATGATAAGCAAACTGGGGCCTTAAAGACCATCCATGTTTTCTCAGAGGCAAACAACAGAGTATTAGAGACTGTGTAATGTTTGACAGTGAGACATGGTTCAAATAATTGTTCTTAAAAATGGTGTTGGCAACTTTTCGTCCAAGCAAGATAGGGTCTTCGTCTACATTCTCCCATAGACACGACTACAGTCTTGACATTTGATTTCATCATTTCAAAATCCTAAGTATTTCTGGATAAAGCTGCTGCTGTTGTGATTATTCTGCAGCTGTCTGCAAAGCTGAAAAGCTGTTATCCACGTTTTTGCTTGCCTGTGCTTTGCATATGGATTATTGATCTGCTCAGGACTGGTGGGGTTTTACGTCTGATGCAGGTGTCAGAACCCTGCAAGCTCTGTCAGGGTTGTTGTGAGTTTTCAATTGATTTCATCATCTGCGTGAATATGACTGCAAAACACGGAAATATGTATTTCACTTTATTTCACTTTCTCCTTTCCAGGTCAACGGTGACATTCCACCTCGATTAAAAAAGAGTGCCCATGAAATAATCCTGGATTTCATCCGATCGCGACCTCCATTAAATCCTGTATGTAATCCAGTGGGCTTCATTCCTAACAAAAATGTGGCTTTGTAAATCACATTTGTGTCCAGGAAATATGTTAAATATCACATTTTCTGACATGAGCTTTCAAAAACATTGTCTTCTGTATATAGAATGTAGTCTCTTAAAGAACTGTGTGCAATATCTTGCACCTACCAATTTATAACTGTTATTACCGGTGACCCTTTATCTCTTTGGGAAATCATAATGAATTGGGGAAAGATACAATCCTATTTCCAATTTATGTGAGTTTTACAATTGAGTGCATGTAAAATCGTATCACAGAATTCCACTTTTTTTTTTCCAAAAAGTGTGAAATCTGCTTTCAAGGAAGCACTGTTTTGTGTAAACGTGATTATCTTTATATCCCGAGGCCTCGGCACGAAAACTGAAACCAACCCCACCACGGCCACGCAGCCTTCATGAAAGGATACTGGAGGAAATCAAGGCAGAGAGGAAGTTACGTCCAGTCTCACCCGATGAGATAAGGCGTAGCAGGCTGGGTAAGCACATTGCTAGTTTTTACCTGCAGCATCCACAGAAAACTTCCCACATAAGAAGCAGCAATATTAGCAATGTCTGTGCACATGGCATAGAAGATAAAATTATTCTCATCCCTTCAGAAAAAGAAAGAACCTGCAGGCTTCACCAGGGCCATGCAGTCTTTGTGCTAAGTTATATTTAAAAATAAGATACTGTATGGTTCAGCTTGGTTCCCTTCAAGTTTTTAATGTAAGTATTAGATAAATTTAATGGCGTTATATTGCTTGTTGCATGTGACAGTTAGATTTGTTCAGAATGGAATGGGTATTGCTCCTCCCTGGTGCAATATTCCTTATGTATCTGCAAGTATTCTTTACATGTCTGTTTCTAAGTAATTTTATTCTCTTTGTTTCCTGTTGTTAGTATCATAAATTTCCGTATTTTAATTTGAAATATGCTTTTATTTTGGTGGCTGAATCTCTTGCTTCTGTTTTGAATCTCAATGTTTGCTTCATTTTCTGAGTTATGGAACATGTGTTTATATGTATTTTCAGCGAGCAAATAATTCAGACTGGCACTGCAGAGCATTTCATTTCTGCAGTGTGTATTCAACAACCTACTATGAAATTATCCCAATACTATGCTTTCCAACGATCACCAGTTTACATTAGTTCAATGGTTCTGATGACAAAAGCATGACAAATATTACATAAGTCTTACATTGTGACTTATGTTTCTTTAAAAGCATGGTATTTATCTGTATCAGAAAAACTGAGCTAGCTGGATTTTTCAAGAGCAAAAGTGGCATCTTATGGCTAAAAAGCATGAAATAATCCACGTATGTACTCCCTGTCACTGCGTTTTGCAAAATATTTGTGCTTGCCACATGTGCTTAGAGGCACTGGTCCAGATTCAAGTGGGTTGTGACAACCCATTGTCTCCAGAGAAAAACAATTTCATCAGTCTTGCTTTATTGCATTGTTTTTGAAGTGCTCAGAAGAGTTTGGTGAATGCTTGCCTGTATTTTTAAAAGCATGATGTTTTGAATATTATTTCTTTAGGCTTTCCAGTTTCTCATTTGGATTCAGTTTATGCTTGCTGTATCAACTAGTGTTTCTAATAGGCCTAAACATGTTTCAAAATGTAGGAATCTTGTAAAAACATGGAATGATTCCTTACTTTTCTTTCAAACATTCAATTTCAGCATTTTAGATGTTCTCCATGTGAGAACTATCCTGTCCTCATAGGGACAGCAAATTTGATCTAATATATCTTTAAAATTTCTAACTGATATAAATGACATCAAACCCATTTAGTAAAAACTTTAAAAAAAAAAAAATGTTAAATTTTTGAATATCAGTGGTTAGGACTTCCTGAGCTGATTTCAGGGCATGGCCTCCAATGAGGAATACCTATTTTTCACCAATTCTTCATTTTTTGTTAAATAATTAAATTTTTGAGTTTTGGAACTGTGGTAATTCTCCTTCAGTCCAGTGAACTATTTGGATTAAAAGCTACGTTACTGGAGGCGTGGAAGGGGATTGTTGTGGTTTAACCCTATCCAGCAACTAAGCCCCACTCAGCTGCTTGCTCACTTCCCGCAGTGGGATGGAGGAGAGAATTGGAAGGGTAAAGGTGAGAAAACTCATGAGTTGAGATAGACAGTTTAATAGGAAAAGTAAAAGCTGTGCACGAGCAAAGCAAAACAAGGAGTTCATTCACCACTTCCCATTGGCAGGCAGGTGTTCAGCCATCTCCAGTAAAGCAGGGCTCCGTCACGTATAACAATGACTTGGGAAGACAAATGCCATCACTTCAAATATCCCCCTGTTCCTCCTTCCCCCAGCTTTATATGCTGAGCATGCCATCATATGGTGTGGAATATCCCTTTGGTCAGTCAGGGTCAGCTGTCCCAGCTCTGTCCCCACCCAATTCCTTGTGCCCCTCAGCCTACTCGCTGGTGGAGTGGTGTGAGAAGCAGAAAAGGCCTTGACTCTGTGTAAGCGCTGCTCAGCAGTAGTGAAAACACCTCTGTGCTATCAACAGTTTCCAGCACAAATCCAAAACACAGCCCCATCCTAGCTACTATGAAGAAAAATAATGCTATCCCAGCGAAAACCAGCACAGGGATGCATGCAGGTTTTATTTCCCTAGTGTTTATTTGCTGCTGGCATGAAGAAGAAAAAAGAGTAAAGGCCTTGAAGATAATTTTTTCTTATGTTGAAATATGAGGTTTTGTTTTTTCTCACATTGGAATGATTGTTATGTCCAAAGTTCCTTTTAGAATGAAATGTGTTTGTGCAGAATTGAGAATAGAGTAGTGCTAGTAACATTCAGGATGGTACAAATAGATCTGCCATATAGTTTAGATCACCACTGAATGTAATTTAGTGTAACAACATGTAATGTAATGAGATTTAAGGATTATAAATCTGAGTAGAAACACCATGTGGGACACTTGCACCATCTGGACAGAAATATTTGTTGCTGTTAAAAAGAGAAAAAAAAAAAGATTGTTAGAGTGAAATATTTGGGAGTGTGAGGTACATTGCACGTGTCGCAGTTATTCCTTGTTGCTTAGTTTATAGCGGTCAAGGGCACAACTACACTTGACTATTTGGGTGAGGGGGGCTGGACTCTTACAGTTCCTCCTCTGTGATATGGGTGGACCTATGGCTATGTCCCTCTGCTCTGCACAGCACGTGTACAGGTAAGATCTTCTCTACCCTGAGCTGCCACTGAGAAGAAACAGCCTGTGACTGGCCACTCTCAATGTAAAAAACTTCTTTGGAAACAGTAATTTAATCTCAGTAGTTGTTCTCACAAAGGGAGAGGTTTGAGTAGAAGAATTGGATTGAGCTTTCAAATGACCTCATAAAATCATCAGAGTAAGCTATCGAGACAAACACAGCCCTGAGGTACATGTCCTTTTAATTAAAAGCATGGATTTGTGACTCAAGCAAGTTGAGCTAGTGGAGCCTGGAGAGAAATTTGTTTTATCAACTTTCAGTTAGGACTCAGCATTAGGTGATAAAACCCCTTCACGCTTTACAATGTGTTTGCCTTCATGCTACCTTTTAACAGGGATTTAGATAGTGTTTCTGTAGCTGTTATCTGTGGTTGATGTTGTCTAGTTAATGTACTACAGGAAAAAGACCCTGACTCCCAAATTCAGCTTTGAGTCAGCCGCCTACTGTGTTCACCACATAGATTTATTCTCATGAGCAAAACTTGTCTGAGCATAACCCTTTTTTAACATCTTTTAATGCTGCGGTATGTGTGGCTGACAGGCTCTTTCATACCAACTTGGGTGTTTATCACTGGTCAAATAAGACAGATAAACTGATGTCAGCTTTGATGTATTCTTGTACATTCTTGCCTTTGGGCTTGGCCTGCTTGTTTGGATTAGTGCGTTGAAACTTTGTTTTCAGTTGAGAAATATTTTGAGTGTCTACTCCCTGAATTACACTGTTTGAAATATAGATAGGTCTTTCCAGAAATAAAGAAGATCTGACCACTTTATTATCTAGGAACAAAATAGTTAAAGGCTCAGAAAGAAGAGGGTAATATTATGCCTACGTTTTAAAGGCTAAGTCCACCTAAGATTTTTTTTAAAAAGCGAGAATCAGCACAAATCACACTGTGTTTGGCCTTTTTTTCCATCCTCTTCAAGGAAACTACTGCTCAAGCTTAGCTTGAGTGTCTGTCTTTATTAGTTTAATTATAATCACTGGAGATTACGCTTAAAAAAATTAGAAATATCTTTATTTCAGGTCACTGAAACTTGTGTGAAATGTGGCTTTGTACTTTCCTCTTCTTTCTCTCCTTTCTCTCTCTTTTCCCTCTCCCCTTTCTCTCTTTAATTTTAATTGAAAATATTCATTTTTTTAAGATACTTGCCTCTTGTTTTGATATTTGATTTATTGAATTCCAAAAATGACATTCTACAACTATACAAATATCTTTATAATTGCTCTGTTTGCAAGTCCCATTTATGCTACTGTAGTTTTCAGACTTTGAGCTTCACTAGAGTAAAGCAATGGTATGTCTGACACATTTTGGATTTAGGCAACAGAATCCAAAATGTCTCAAGTGGAGTTAATCTTTTGTTTTCATTACCTCTCTGCTTTTCTAATAGCTGAATCGTTTTCTTTTTGTTGTTTTTGTTTCTTTTTTACAGCAATGCGGCCACTTAGCATGTCTTACAGTTTTGACTTGTCAGGTAAAAGGTGCAACAACACCTGACGTGGTTATTGTGCTTATTGTGGAATTTGTTCCATCTGTTTGTTGAATTCCCATTTGAGAAAGAAACTTGAAGGGATTCTTCCAAGATATGGTCAGTGAAAACAAAAATTAACATAAATTACCTATCAATACCTACATTTCCCTTGCCAAAAAAGGATGCCTAGGTATAAGAAATAACTGTATTTCACCTGAAGTAGAGTGCTGGAATTCTGTTTAAATAAATAGCCTAAATAAGGTGGCCCAGAGCTATTCCGAACTCTAAAAAGGATTGCAGAATACAGTGTCACTTTCAAGTCTGATTTACTTTGTGTCTTTACACTCACTTTTTGACTAGACCATCTTTTGCAGTACTTCATTTCTCACGAGGATCCAAAAACTAGTTTTGAACTCGTCTACCCTTCTAGACTTAATGAAATACATCTATGAATACTAATCTAGAAAGGAACTGTCAATTCTACTGAGTGTCTTTACAGTAAATGCTTTGTGAGTCGTGAAATCAAAGACATTCACTCAAAAGAGGCTAAACCTTTCTTCTTTCCTGGCTAGCAAAATAAGTTGCTGAAGTTTGCTGGTAATAGCTGATACGCAGGATTCGATAGCTGATCCTTCATCGACTATCTAATAGCAAATTTAAGCATTCTCCTTGGTGGGCCATTAGTTAGAACATGCAATAACTGTATGAACACGTTCTACTTCAGAGACAACAACATCACAGAGAGTTTGTGCCTACTAGCCAGAAAATAAATTATTTCCTCCATCATTGTGCACTAACTTTCCAGGATGCCTTGGCCCGAAGACTCCATGATTGAGGTCGTAAATATGCCATGTTAGCCTCAAAGGTTTGTCCACTGAGGAGAGCTCTTAAGCTAGCTCTTACCTTATTTCTCCTAGGTGACTCCCAAGAAAAACAGCGTCCAAATAAATCCATGCTCTCATTTTCTGAAGAAGCAACAGCACCTTTACCCTCCGCCCCTTCCTTGCAGTTGCATGTGGAAACATCTCATCTGGGACTTTTGGAACTCTGTTTCTCCATGCACCCTTTAAGCTCCTGTGGTCATTTTCCCCATAGAAAGGCATAACCTGACTGAAATGCTGGCATATTGTGAACTGGAAAGACCATACAGAAGTTATTTTGATTACCATAGTATAAAAAAATACCATAGTTTTGTAATGTGGGAGTGAAGTTCAAAAGTGACCGATCTATAAACGTGGCTTCATGTTCTGGCTGGGCCAAGTAAAGAGCTTGCCACTGTCAAGAGGCAAGGAGGGGCCCTCGCTGCTCCCTCTCCCCGCCAAGCTCCTTTCCAAGCATGTGATTCCCCCTCCTCCTCTGTGCCGGTCCTGCTCATTTATTCACAAGATGACCTTATTAAACTCATGTAACCCAGGAACAAATACTTTTGGGTTTTTACCAGGTTGGTTTTCTGCTCTTTTAGTGATTTAAACCTGCTTGCTATCTGATCAGATGATGATCAGAGAGCTAGGTGAGGGCAGATGATGACATGAGTGGATGGGAGGAAGGAACCTCCCACCTCAGAGACAGTGACGACAAGCTGTTAATCCATCTCGAGCTCTTTTGTGAAACCTTACTCTCATGGCATATTGCACAGCTATTGCAGCTGTCTGGTGGGATTCAAATTATGTATGTACTTGGTATCATGTTTTACTCCACTGAAAGCTGAAGGGTCCTCAGAGGGTCAGGTAATAGCATAAACAAGCAAACTTCATTTTTCAAAAAGTATTACTGCTTTCAGCTATGCCAGAAGTTTCTTCAGTTTTAAGACTGTAAAACTGAATGTGGCAGCGACCAACAAAAGGGAAGTGTTCGGATCTGTCCTTCTACATGTGTCTGTTTGCTTCTTCTTTTGCCTTTTATTTCTAAGAATCCTCAGACATCCTCATTTGTTTAAATCCAAACACTATTTTTAAAAGCTCCCTTCATAATCCATTAATTCATTACCATAATGTTTTTATTTTAAAGAAGTAGCTTCATAGCAATCTATACTTGGATTTGCTCTTTTTGACTGACCATTGAAGAACTCTTCCTGTTTTCTTTATCCATCTTCCAAATGTGATTGTTTTTGTTTTTTCAAGTCATGTGGTTCTCAGCAAGTAGTATCATATGGCGTGACTGAGTGATCTGATAAATTGTCTTTAGAAGTGAATTCAGGATGATTAAAACATTCCAGTTACGTAGATGCAAGACACCAGATGAGCAGCACAAATGAATTAGATGGGTTGGGATGTCGATAGTAAGCAGATAAGCGGTGATTTTGAATGTCGTTGCTTTGCGTGCTTTTACTTTTTTCATTATTTTGGAGACGGGGAAGCTACGCTCTGCTTTCATCACTGTTTTCACACACTTGCTTTTTCACTGCTTTCATTGCTCTCTGCTCGATGGAATTGCTGCCATGAAAAAGCACAAACCAGCTGAAATCCAGAAGTGTTTCCTACTAAGTGATAAAGGAGAGGGGCAGGCTTATATCACACATGCTGTCTGCGACTGGGATGATGCAGACCGAGTCTGAGAAGACACTAGCTGGCACTGAGCCAGTGTAGTTGGTATGTCACGCTGCCCGGCTCCACGCATCTGCCTGCTGTTATCCTGGAGAGGAGAGGAGGGGCGCCTTGGACCTCTTTTTACCCTGCTGTTCTCTACGGGTAGAATAGAAGTAGCAAGCGGTAGCCACCTGGAATGAGAGTAAGCTGAGAGGTGCTCAGATATCGACTAGGGACCAGGGCAGTCATGGCCCACTTCCTCTAATAGAAAAATAGCTTACAAGCGGCTTAATTGCGCTGCACTATGTTGAATGCAGCTCAAAAGATCAATCATTCCCACTCTTAACCCTCAAATCCTTACCTCAAAGCTGGATGCAGGGCTGCTTTGAAGTTGTTACTTCAGAAAGTTTGTAGGTTTTGGGAGTGAGGCGGGGTGGGGTGCAAGGAGAGAAGAAAAAGGAAACTGAAACATTTAACTTGAAATTTCACAGGGTTTATTCCTGTTGTTCCCAACCCTGTGAGGTGATGTATATCACTGTTGGCTTTACTTGATCTGTGCCTCCGACCAGTGTGAGAAAGGAACTCCACCAGGTCCTTAATTTGTCTCTTAATTTAGATAATACAATAATAAATGTGATGCAAACACAAGCAAAAGACTAGCAGTTTGTTATACTGACTTATTACTTCTGAGGTTTGACTTCAACATCAAAGTTCATTGAAAGGAACAGCACATCTCTGTTGCCATTATTCATTACATAATCTTTCCCAGTATATTATCATCATCATAAATAGAAAAGAGTAAACCTATATTAATTCTGCAAATCCATTTTAGCCTTCTTTTAAACTCAGTATAAAAATTATAAGGTTGAGGAGTACATTTGCTGTATAGAACAAAATTCAGGTTTCTGTTGTTATTTGCCAAGGAGAGCTGATTAGGAGGCAGACAGCGTATGGTTACATGGCTGCTGTGGTTTGCATGTAATCTGTGGTCTGCTTAATTCCTTGTCTCGTAAGAGACGTGATCTTACATGTAAATAAAGGCGCATTTCATATTATCCTAGGGTGGGTTTTTTTTTGTCTGCCTCTTCTTAAGGCTAGTCAGGGAAGGCCAACACAAAGATCGAGTAATCAAATCAAGACCTCTTCTTTCATTTGCCTGTTGTAATGATAGCTTAGAAGAAGCTCAAAAGAAACCAAACATATTCATCCAGTCTGCAAGTACTGTTCATTGTACTTGCTGCCTGAAAACACGGAGAAATGACACTCTCCCAGTGCGTCTGTCTCTCTAATAAAATCTTAACCCCAGGCTGTTACTCACACAAGCCTTTTTTTTTAATATCATTTGAATCATCTTCAAAACATTTAGATGTTTTATGAAACTAGAGATCATGAACTACTATCCATTTAAAAAAATAAATTTAGGTTTTTGTTTAAAAGAATTATCCATGATTTTCTTCTGTCATATTCTTTTTTATAAGCATTAGTCTATTGGTTGTTTCTGACTTGTTTATCTTGATTAATTTTATCTTTTTTATGGTGATGTACCATTATTCGCCTCCCAGTAATGTTCCTGTTTCCTGAGTACGTTACTAAAATAGCTTAAACTAATAATTTTTTAGACTGTATCTTGTAACAAATTCTGGTTTTAATTTTGGAACAAGTTATTTTTGTTGAAATCTGTTTACTGAAATGGTAAAATTTCATGATCCTCTCCTTAAATTATGATAATCCATTTATTCATGTATATCCGGTACTGTAAGTGCAGGAATGATAAACTGAACTTGAGCACTATTAACAAAACAGGTTTAATAAATTGGATGCTTTTCTAGTTTTACCTTTTTTTTAATTTTTATTCTTTAATGCTTGCAAGTTGTAAAAACTCACCGTTTTTTTCTTTAGAGGAAAGAATGGTGATAAATGACATTTCCTACTGAAGAGCCCTTCAAAAGAACTACTATGTTGAATTGTCTTCTCGATTCATCTAAAACTTCTCTGGTATTTCAAGAAGACTTATAAACTAACACATGAACAATTTAACAATATGCATGAACAATTCATATGTGTGTGAATTTTAATAACAACTAGTTTAGGCTTTGTAGATAGTAATTGGCTATATAAATTACCTCCCGAATGGATCAGAAATTTCCATTTCTGGGATGTAAAGAAATGAAGCCTAAATTCTTAGAAAACAAAACAAAACAAAAAAACAACCAAGCAAAAAAAACCAAAACCAAAACCAAACAAAACAAAAACACCAAAAGAACAACAAAAAAAAACCCAAACCAAAAAACCCAACAGAAAACAATTTATGACATACCCTGGATATCCATTCCATCACCTCCCATAGTGCTAGGGTATGTCTGATGGATGTTCCCTCCTCTTTCCTTTCCCCAGATCTATCATGGGTTTTACATTTTTGGAAGGAGACAATACTGTTGGCCTTCTCATCATTTATTCTCTCAGTGAGTTCCAACAGTAGTTACAGGCCATTCTTCAACATCCCTACCATCAGGCAAAGGGAGTCATCACCCAGGAAGTTTTTGGAAGGAGGGACGTAACCTTTGGCTTTACTGTTGTTGGTGCTGGGGCTGCTTCATTGGATAGTCTGTTCAGGAGCTGCCCTGTGCAATCGAAAGGCAAATCAAAGCTTTTTCTCTTGCTCATTTGGGAAACCCTGAGCTTCTTCAATCAACTGCATGCCAGCTAATTATGAGGTCTCAAGAAGTGGGGTTTGCAGCAGGGAGGTGAGGCAGTTCAGTTTTTGTTTTCCTGCTGTCGCTTTCTGGGGTTGTGTTGAGCGGCTGTTAGAACAGGAATGCATTTGATGTGGAGGACGCCCATGCTGTACTCGCAGAAATCTAGGAGGGGAAAAAAAAACAAACCATGACCTATAAGCCATAGTGCTAGTTAGGACACCCATTAGCAAAGCCTTTGAAGATAGGAACTAAGGGTTAGAGAGTCTAAGTCTTTGATTGCAACTCTTTGTAGGGAGAACCTGAAGACAGTAATAACACTGTAGCACACAGATTCATAGGTTTGGAATGTCACCATGACTTTAATAGTTAAAATAATTGCCTTTCCTTATGCTCCCAGTTGAAGATATGATTTACAGAGAAACTAATACATCCTCTGTCCTTTCTAGCTCAGTTTCCAGCATTTAACAATAACCTAATTAATTATTTAAAGTGTGTATTGATTTAACTTATTTGTCATCTTATTCCTTTTCAATAGCTGCTCCGGTGAGAATGTTGTAGAACAGACCTGCTACTGCAACTGAGGCATTGTCTAGACTGCGTAGTTTTAACTTACCTAGTGCAAGAACAGCTTTTATCAGTGCAAACTGTGTTGTAGCAGCAGTGACCGTGTCTGTTTATACCAGGGCAACTATGTAAGTAACTCCTAATGATGTGTGAGTGCTTACGTTGTTGGCACTGGGAATATCTGGGTGATATCACTTCTCCGTGTAGTCCTCCCTGTAACCTAAGGTACGAGTCATTTGACCTTCTGTGCCTCTTTTCACCGTGTATAAAAATGGGACTAATAACTCATCGTTACCCTAGCCTTAAAATATCTGGAGGCACTTTGTTATTACAAGACTGGGGAAGGAGTCCTATAATTACATGGGGAGAAAAACACATTTGTAGAAAGACCAGATGCTTAGGCATACATGCAAATGGGAGATTAAAAGCTTCTCTTCCTTCTCCCTCCGACATAATTTTCTCCAGATTGGAATACTGCACTTTGTACTTTTACAGGGATAAAGCTGATTTATTAGACCAAACTCTAAGCTCTCCTAAAATATCAAAGCCTAGGTCATTATCTTAATGTCTAAGCTAAGCTAGGCTAAGCACAGCAGACCCAATGCTTACGTTATCCGAGATGCATCTTCATTGCACACTGGCAGAAATCCCGAGTAATTTACTCAGTAGAGTTGCATCCTTGTAAAGCTCGTGTAGGTGAAATAGAGCTGGAGCCTCAGGTTTCTTCTGTTACATGAAGATTTGATATCACAGACATATTTTTAATACAAATGACCACGCAAGCCTAAGAATTGTGCATATTTTTGATGAATGTAAGTTATTTAGCTCATTTTCATTCCTTTTCTGTATACTGCAGAATAAAGTGTAATTCTGTCCTCACAGGAAAAACTAGGTTTACTCCATGCTAAACCTCCTAATTTCTGTGTGGCGTTGTCTTCAGATTGACTGAAAACCTGCTTGTCAAGATACGGTTGTGCATTCTTCTGATACTTATTATATAGTTAATCATAGACTGTAAGTTGAAGGAAGAATATTTTTGGGTTTAACACAGGAATTTTTTTTTTTTTTGTAAGTTGATTGATGTTAGTCTGAAGTTGGTTTTTAGTATTGTGCACTGCTGCTTTTTCCACTGCTTTCATTCTTTCATATTGCTTCTGTACCACAAGCTGTTGCCTGTAGTTCTCTGAGCAATGTATTGCTAAAGTAAAATAATTGCACACATGTAACTATCACAATATTTTTTCTCCTTTTGTGTGTATTACCTTTACAGTAAGATTTGAGAAGGCAAATAAAAATCAGATCCAAACACCAATTCTTCTGTTTCTTTTGCTAGATGTATCTACGCCAGAGGCTGGAAGAAAATTAGTGGATGCCTCTGTAGTGAACGGTGGCCTGGCACCACAAGGAAAGCAGAATGGAGCCACACAAGTGACAGTACAACGCAAGAGACTCCTTAAGGCTCCCACGTTGGCTGAACTTGACAGCTCAGATTCAGAGGTAAAAAATCAGGACACACCTTGCTGCTTGATTTGTCAGAATTGAGTCTTATTCCCTAAGTTGCTGAGCTGATCAACTGGGAAGTGACTTTGCAGATTATCACCTGAATTTTCCATGACTGCTTTGTCAGCCCACAGAACTTCAAAAATATTACATCAGACCTCAAAAATGAGAATTTTGTTTTAAAAGGTTAAACGCTAGTTTTGGCCTTAAACCCAGTAATTACTTGTTTTAGTAAATGCTCATTATCTGTCCACAGTGTATTTGTAGCAATTATGCTTTTGGGAATGCAGGCGAAAGCGTTGCACCCTTCTGGCACCCGTGCAGGAGCTGTCACTGAAGGCCTCAGACGTGAGGCCAGCCTCACGGTACCAGCTGTTAAATTAAAGAGCGTCAGCTGCGCCAGACGGGTTGCGGTTCGGTTGCGAATGTCAGTGCATTAGTTTGTTACGTGGGCTTGGGAAGTAACACCCAGCCAATGTTTCACAGACAGGGACACGCAAATACGATGAGGAAACAACTTTGAATCCATCCTCTCTCAAATGGAGAGTTAATGATTTTAAAAAAGCTTAAAAGCCAGAAAAGCTTAAAAAAGCTCTCTAGCTTAAAAGCTGCATTATATATGATCCTCAAGAAGTACCAATGTTACATCCTCAAGAATGAGCTTTGTCTTCTGGACCAGTAGTAGTAGTATTAATTCCGTTTGGAGCTTTCTGAAAGTTAGGAAAGTTCTGCTGTCTGGAAAGCGCATACAGGCAGGGTTTATTCACAGAGGCTAATTTTAGCCGGGGGAAGGCACTCTTCCCTGATTCTCCTTCTCTCTAGTAAATGGGGAAGGAGGAGTTTTCTGACAGGGTGCTTTACAAAGGCATCTAAGCTGAAAGATAGGAGGCTGGGGAGAAATACACGTGGGGAGAAATTTCTCTCTTTGCATACTTTCTTGATCTGTGAACGGTTGGCCCTCTTTGTATTACAGGTTATACTATGAGTGACTTGTGTGGGTGCATAATTTGGTGCATCTGTTCTGAAAGCAGAAGAGATTTGCATTCTGAAATCTCTCAACAGTCTTTAAAATTACCATAGAGACTATATGAGGTTTTGTTAATATGAGTGAAGCTGGGCAGGATGCACGAATATTAAGACCTGTCAGTGAGAGCTGAGTCTTGAATTTACAGCTTTCCAACTTGAAGTTTGGTGCATCCTGAAGCTCATGCAGCATGATATTTCACATGGAAAAGTGAGCAGAAGTCAGTAAAAGAAAATGCTGTAAAGGGAAATGTGAAGTGATTCTTGTAGGAGGGAGAAAATAAGATGTCTGACTGTGACTGTTGATTAGGGGCTACTGTGTAGGCAAAAAAATGTGTATAGAATAAGATGTGAAACATACAGCAAAAGATAAATTGAAAATAAATCAGCCACATCAAGCTGTCAAAGAACAGATGCTGTACTGATTCAAGTCAACAGAAGTAGCTGGTCAAGCAATTACGATTATTAAGATACTCGACAGAATACTGATTGGGGCTCAGGAACAGTGCTAAAGTAGTGTAAATAAACAAACTCAAGGGAGTTTGGGTGAAATTTTCCTAGCCGACAGAGGGAGTGGGACACAGAACATTTGAAGACAGTGAACGTTGCTCTGTCAAAATGTCTTCTTTCTTTCCTGACAGAGGAGTGTACATTGCCTATAAATGACTTGGCCACCTCTTTGCCTGCAATTTGAATTGGGCTTAACCTACTTAGAGTTACTCACTGGGAGTTAAATTATGACTGTATTATGCCCTAAATTACAGGCTGCAAATATCTGCACTGCTGAGCTGTGGACCTCCAAATGAGCTATGATGCAGATGCATTTTTTTTCCCTCTCCATCCCCTTTGTTCTTCTCTCAGCTGCGTAGTGATGCAGACTACACCCTAACACTCAGTGTTGCCAGCCAGAGGTGAAACGGAAGGTCTGATACAGCCCTATGCCCATTTGCTGGCAAGGATGAATATTGTACAAACCGTTCCTGCTTTCTGTCCTTGCTTTTTTCTGCATCACCACTAGAATCACAGTTTCAGAAGAGGAGCAGGAAGTGCTATTTTGCTTTGTGTGGCTAAAAGAAGTCGCCATCTAATAGTGATTTTTGATATAGATACAAAAATGGTGTCTTCCTAGCAAAGCTACAGCTATCCGGACAAAAATCATGTCAATAACATATTCAGAAGTTTTAAGGTGATGCCTTTAAAGCTGCAGCTTTCTCTGTGCTTGTAGAATTCTAATTGTTTAGCTTGCTGTGGAGAAGTGTGCAGTCCCGGATGTTGGGCTGGTGCAACCTCAGATGTAAAACATTGGATAGTCTATCATAATAGCAGTTACTGCTATTGACAGTTACTGTATTGACATGAAGAAATTCATACGATAGTTCATCAGTACTTCCTACACAAGATTTCATTCTCAAAAAAGCCTTCTGTGTTTGAGAAATCATAGGGCAGTAATAGCATTTTCAGTGCATGTGCTTGTGCGCAGAAAAGTTAATTTGAAATTACAAACCAGGAATACCTGTTTTCTAAGTAGGATGATAGGTCAGAGTTAATATACTCCTGGATTCCATTATCCCTGGTTTGGCTGTTTATACCTACCTGTTTTTTATACTTAGCCATTGGCTCTGACAGTTCATTCCCTCTCATTCTTTAGAATAAGTGTGGCTCCTGGAATCTTTCTTGTAGGTCTTTACCACAGAGAAGCCCCTAACACCTCTATTTTTGTCCATTCCTTTCACTCTTTTTTTTTTTTTTTGAGAGCCCTAGGCCACTGGCCTAGCCAGTGTTCATCCATTACTAGTGAAGTAACTGGAAATCTTTCACAAAAATGGGAGCAAGATGGAGACATCTATGCGCTACCTAGTTTTGCAACATCTGACTGAGACATCATGTCCATCTTGAGTTCAGAAGTGGAATGAAGAATAGTCAATAGCTATTTCTTTCCATTGAAAGGTGGCAATTAGCAAAATTACAGACATGTGAAATGTTTCTGTAATCCCTATTTTGCAGTTTTACGTTAAAATATATATAATCTTTTGATATTTTCAGTGTGCACCTTGTTTTGTCTTTCTTCTCTCTGTGCCAGTGTTTCAGACACAGGAAAAATGGAAGAAAAAGGAGAACAGTAAAACCCAGAAAAGCATGTAAATAAACTCAATGCACAGACTGTTGCTTGAATCATGATTCAGTCTTTTATAAATCTCTACACCGTAAGATGCCGACAACTGAAGCAGTTACAATTTTTTGTCAGGACTAGGTAGGTTCCCACAGAACAAGAGACTTCTCTAGAGCAAGGATTGCTTGGATTGTGCTCCAGAGACAGCTGTTCCCTGTCTGCTCCGCAAAAACCCCTGTCTGAAGCCCTGGCTGCTCTTCGTTCATGAAAACAAGCAGCATAGCGTCATGGTTATGTTTTTTTAATTGACAGCCTACTTAATTCTTTGTCTTAGCTTGTTAGCTTCTCTGGCAATGGGAAAGTAATCTTCAACTCTGAAAAATTTGACTTCTACAAAGTGAAAAGTTTAGTAGTTCTGTTTGTACAGGGATTATTGTCCTTTACAAAACTCAAATGTTTAACTCTAGACTTCTGAACACTGCTGCCCCCCTTCTAAAGAACAGTGCATCCAATTGTTTTGCAAGTGCACCAGTGGTCTTTTAAGGCAACCATGCCACGTGAAGTGGTGATATGCAAAGCTATCTGAGCTAGCCCTGTAGCGAAACTGAACTGGAAGTAAAACAGCTGATGTAGCTAAATGTGCTGCTCAGACTCCCCTACAAGCTTCCCATCACAACTGTTTTGTGAGGTCACGCTTGATAAGTTAAAGTGAATATGTTGTTTGGGATCTGAGCTGGTTTGAGTCCCTTTGCAGAATACTGTGTTGTAGCATATATGTGGGAACAGTGTGCATCACGGTGTCCTCACATACAACACATACATACCCTTGGGCTAAGCATAAAGTACACATCACCTGATGGAATTTGTAAAGGCCTCTGTGTTGTGATGCATGGTGCTCATTGAGGTGATCCTGACAGCTTTTCTTTTCCAACTTGCCATTACCAAAGACGGCAGTCTTTGAGCCAGTGGAGGTTTTCCTGCTTGCCATTCATGTAACTAAGAACATTTGTGAGAGAGAAGCTCAGCCACTTCCTGAATTTTGGAGCAGATCACTCGTTTGATCTGTAATCTTGACAACTTAAATGATGTAAGTCTCCTTGGTTAGAAGCATTCACATTAGAGCTAAACAGCATTCACACTCAGTCCTTCAACTCTGTTCTTGTGGGAGGCTCCTGTGATGATCTGTATCTTGCTGGTATCTGGTGGCTGAAGACAGAGGTTTTAGGTAAAACTAAAGGATTTAATAATTTGGGTGGCATAATGCTTTAGATTATGATTTAGATTTAGATATAGAAAGGTGTTAGTCAAAGCCCATTTCACTTTCATTCATCTTGCAGGAATTGCTCTTGGCTGCTGTGATGGAACATGCTTATATAATGAATGAGATTTCTTTTCAATACAGAAGAAAGGAGAAGCTCACCAAGATTAGAGAAGAGTGCAGTGGAGATCAGATGAATTTCTTTACCTGAGTCACTTGTATGAGTGGCTCTCATTCCTTTGGAGACCAGAGAAATTCAAGTGCTGATTCCTTGCTAGTGTGAGATATAAAGTTGAGTTAATGTATCTCCTGTAGCTGCAAATCCTTAGAAGTCCGTGAATACAATGAGGAAAATAAATAGGTTACACAGTGGATTCATGCACCTCTCTTCTGATGTTGTTCTTTCATGTGATAGTTAAATACACCAAATTCCAACCATGTGCTATTTATTCGTATAGTTTCTAAAAAACTGAGTGTTGGAAATTCCATTTACTCCATGCTGTGTAGCATCAATGTTTTTCTTAGGACTTCTTCTAGGGATTTGAGTGATTGAATGCTGCAAAATACCTTTGATAGCTTGTGATTTCTGCATGCTAAGAAGTAGTAAGAGAAGGAAAAACAATCCCTGAGGAATTCTGTTTCTTTTCCTCTTGCCACACAGGAGGAATCAGTGCACAAGTCAGCGAGTAGCAGCAGCATCTCCCCCTCACAAGTGGAAGACCCCTCTCAAGAAGGCACCAGCAGCAGAAAGAGTGAGTTTTGATGAAAAAGCCAAGACCTTTTTCATACCTCTGTTGTCTTCTGTTCTATGAACTTTGTCTGCAACTTTCGTAGAAAGCTGAAGCTGAGTGTTGATAATGGAATAAATCTCTAAAGCTGAACCCTAGAACCTGCTGAATAGGTCAAATGTGATTAACGATTAGAAGGCATTAGGCTACACTATATGTAGATGTCTTGGTGAAACAGAAGGTGATTTCCTACTTGAATTCGATGTGGAACTGTAGAGGAAGTCAGAAGTGAATGGAGGGTAGTTTAACTCTGCTCATCTCATAAAAGGATGTGTTGCTGCAGAAATGCATTCTAACCTAATATCAATTTAAATATTTCCTGCATCTCTGTCACTGTGGCAGTGAATGTACTTGTTTGAAAGACACATAACAATCACCATACAGCAATCATACATACTTACTGGGAAGAGGGGAAGATCTGTTCTTTTTTTTCAGGCACAGTTATTGTAGGCTTTACTGTGTACCAATATTTTTCATTTATTTCAAAGTGTTTCAGTTTCACTGGAAAGGGTTTGTAATGAAACGTGCAATCTGTGCACAATGGTGAGGTAAGTAGAGTAAGCCAATACCCTGAAACAATTTATATACAATGGTAACTGGACAGTAGCATGCCTATATTCGCTAGTTTTATCAGTATTGCTATTCTCTCAATCTGGAAAATGTGATGAATATGATACCTGTCTTGAAGATGCTCTGAGAGTGGGTGTGTAACTTCAGCCACCAGTAGTGGGGATTCTAGCAAATTTAAGTACTGAGCAATGTTATCCAACAGTCTGTCTTAGAAGAACTAATTTTTTGATACTGGTTGAATCTTTAGTGCCTCCAAAGTTCTTGCCCATATCATCTACACCACAGCCTGAGAGACGGCAGCCACCTCAGAGACGACACTCCATTGAAAAGGAAACGCCAACCAATGTGAGACAGTTCCTACCACCTTCAAAACAGAGCTCCAGATCACTTGTAAGTGGAGTGAGTGGTAGGAGAGAGAAAAAGAGGCATGTTAAAAGTATAATGAAAATTAAAACTTGGCTTCAGTGTGATTAGAACTTCACTCAAAAGAAAACTCCTCAATTCAGAAACAGCCCTTGGCTACTAAAGACATTTCGAAATCAAGATGTGAACTTTGTCTCTCTAGCATACTTATCCAAAATCCCAGGTACAGGTCCCTCAGAAAACATTTGCACTTTGATTAGGACTCTGGGTAAAGCCACGTGCCTTGACTTTATTTCAGAATGTTACCAAAACAGACGAACTTCACCTTACTGATTTTCCATTTGAATAGAGACAATTCCAAAGCAGCGGATCTATTTTGGGATTTGGGGGAATTTTTTCAGTTTTGGAAGTATTTTAGTTAATGGCTGAATGAATAGAATGGTTTCTTTTCTTCCCACCTTAAGAACTTGCATGGTAAGGTTTATACATGTGAAAGCTCTTTCAGTAATCCAAATCAAGGTTTGTCTGTGTTGCTTTGTTGAAGTTACTGAGGCAAAAACCTGTGTTGCCGCTTGAAAAGAAAGTACAGTACATTTGATCAATTAGCTTTAATTGAGAGCTGTTTTCCAGCAGAGTACAAACAGCAAAGGGTATGAAATCCTGGTTCTTCTATGCTGACATACTGATTAGTGCTTTGTAATTTCATGCAGGATATGTTCCTTGTCTCTTTTCCTACCAGCAGGGTTTCAAAGTATGCCCCATGAGGTGCTGGTGAATAGAGAAATCGATAAATACATCAGAGTTTTGAAAGAAAGGGAATATTCACTTGCCCCATCTTGTAGTGCACTGGTATTAATGGGCTCTGAAGAGTGTTTTTGTCGGCCCAAGAGATGATGGCCGGGCTCCAAACCTATTAGATGATGAAGTTGAACGGTAACAAGAAAATAGTCTCCAAATATTCCCTCAACGTGCTTCCTCCTCTTCTTTTCAGAGGGTCTGCTGGGTTTTGTTTGTTATATCCTTCCAAGTCGAACATAGTTTCTCATTCCAGGTGAAGATCAGGTAGTAGCATGTTGATAAATGCAAAACACAAGTAGACTTCTTCTGCCAAAGTGAACTTGGAGCAGAAACTACTGCACCAGAACTAAGCTGGAGAGTTCCTTTGAACTCGTGCATTTGAAGACACTGTCATGTAAAATGGATTGTCCAGTCATCACTGGCTGCGCTCACTGTATGTGGAAGCACAAGCTTTATTTTCTGCTAGGCCCAGAGTCACTCACAGACATTTTGTTTACAAGGAGGAGGGGAGAAAGTATTATATGTTATACTGAGGCATTTGCTCCATCACACTTTCAATGTATCTAACTATGCTACATCATAATACTGATCTCATATCATCTATTGGAGGGGATCATGCAACTTAAAAATCTTATATATGAAGCCATTATTTTAAATAGATCAACCAAGTTCTTAACAGCACCTTTTGACCGCATACGTATTTTCCTTCTGTCAGTCTGTTCACTGATACATGCCTAGAAAAGCTTATAAAAAATAAAACCACTGCAGGAAAGCTAATTCGATTATTCCACTTCCCCTTAAAAATGCTAAAGGAAAAGGGAGAAGATGACATTAGATAAGTCAGGCTAATGCAGGAACATGTGGGGAGAGGCTTTACTAGTTTCTTTTGTGCTTGGGGGGTTTTGGGGTGGTTTTTTTTAATCTTCAGAGCACCATCAGCTAGCTTGGTTTTGGCTGTGAAGTGAGGAAGAAGGAAAATCAGTAGTGAAATGATGTTCTGTTAATAAGAACCTATTTTATTTGATGCCTAGAGAGCTAATTCTTTAACTTGGCAATAGTGCCCTCTAGGGTGTGACAGACAACTCCCACAATACTTTTGTTTTTTGTTTTGGTAGATGATTTCTGATACGCTGGCACTGGCTCGGTTCCACGCTTTGGCTTACTACAAGCCTTTCCTTCCCCAGGGAGATGCCAGCTTCTTTCAGGGGCTGTACCAGATGCTGCATATGTAACATTGCCATTCCCAGAGTGAATGCTTCTCAATGAGTGCAGAATATTATTTCCTTTTTATTTGACTTCACACTTCTTCATCCCTTCCTCCAGGATTGATGGAGTTTCATTTCTTGTCACCTGCTCCTGTGACCGCAGTTTCTCTCCAAGGTGAAAAAGGCCTCGTCAATAAATAGCCCTCAATGCCAGTGAAAACAGGCAGGAGTTTGCTACAGTCTCTTAGCAGGATTAGCAAGAAACTGGTTGGTCTTGCATACTAACGACGGTTTTGTGAACTGGCGTCTCATCAGACCGAGAGAGTTAGACCGAAGTAGGTGGGGAGGGGAAACAAACCTGGAAAAATGCCAAAATAGGCCTTTTGATATGTCACCCTACCAGTGCTACATGGAAAGGCAGGGCAGCTCAGTGATTTTGGGGGGGGTCAGCCCTGGTGGTGTGCTTGCTGTAGTGAGCTGACTTGGTGCTTAATCAGTGGGATGAAGCCAGTGTCCTGAGATGTACATATGGATGCCTTTGTAGTCTGTTTGCTTTTTTAATTATTATTATTATAATCTTTTTTTTTCATGACCCAGAGGACCAAAGCTAATGGTTTCATTTATACACAGCATTCGCTTCTCTGCTTCCTATCTATCGTTCAGGTTCCTAGGATAACCAGTTTATTTCCAAGGATGACTTTCAGACCACTTTTTTCAACTATGCAAACAGCTTCTCTGCTCAGCTCTCATCCCGTTGAAGCAGCCATGTGTGGGGTGGCAGGGGCTATGTACTATCTCTGTGAGAGAGCTTTTGCCAGCAGGTGGAAACCCGCAAAGGTTTGCCTCTTTTTGCTGGCTTTGGAAATCACCTTCACCAGCATGTTCCCTCCTAGGGGAGCACGTCCTAAGCTGTGGCAAGAATTAAAGCTTAGGCTGGGACATTGCACCTGATTGACATTGATTTCGATGTGTGTAGGATATTTGTGTGTCTTCAATCACCTCACGGGGAAAAGAAATCAGTTCTGAAAGGACAGCAAACTAAAAATGCAACATCACAAGATTATCAATGGGACAGACCTTAAATGTTACAGCACATGAAGATCCTGCAGAAAAATCCACCAAAACTATCATAATCCTTGGACTATGTTGAAAAGAATAAGGTTTTATGTTTCTAACAAGATACTCTATGTAGAATGGAAGGGCATTTGCAATCTGGTTTACTTGAAAACCTACACATGGTTTTGGTCCTCAGCACACTTACGTATCAGATTATTCAGAATAACTAATAACTATGTACCAGGGAAGGCAAATCCACTGAAAAGAAAAACTAATTAATTTACCCCTATGTAGAACTGAACATGAATAATTTAATTTTCTCCTTCCTTTTCTTGTCCCAACCGATAAGTGAAAGTGTGAAACCTGTTGCAGGAGAGTTTATAGTTGAGATATCCAGCTGACTTCCTAGAAACTGTTGGTCTGCAAAAGCAACAAGAGTTTAGAGTGCTTGACTAATTGTGAATTGCAGAATTTAGAGACCAATCTGGCACTTGTTCATATTGCAGTTTACCAGGGCAGCTCATTTGAATGCCTAGTGACATCCTTTAATGAGAATTTTTACATTAGAATTTTTTATTAGTGTAAAAATATGTTAGTCGTAAAGACCTATTAGGTGTGTGTATGGTGAGAATGACCTACAAAGCACTTTATTTCGCGTTATGGATATGTAATTCTTAGTACCTACTTTTCCTGAGGTAAAAAAATTACACATATACACCTTAAGCTATTATGGTGTATATAATAAGATTGCACAGTCAAAGTGTTAAGTCAGTTCTCATGAGGATTATGAAAACTTCAAGTTCAAAATAATATTTTTAAGTAAGATTTTTTTCTCTTTAAAAAGAAGACTACTGACTTCTCTTTCATATTAAAATTAGTATTGAGTACAATTCCAGAAAATCAAAACCATTCAAACCACTTTTTTTCTTTAGTATGTTGTATTGTATGCAAGTGTTGCAGAGAGCTGAAGTTCTCTCACTTGGAGCTGCCTAAATTGGGTGAAGATTATTTTTGAGAGTTTGAGCAATAACTCCAAAGCATCATTGTGTAATGAAGTTTAGTCAGAGCTTAGCGTAATTTTAATTAATTTCAATGCCTTAGAGCTAGTGTTGAAACAAAAGATTTTCTCGTGTACTTATTTCTGTTCCGAAAAGGAAAAAAAGAAAATAACTGAGCAGTTTTCTGAAATCAGCATAATATTTATCTTTCATTTAATGTTGCATTAACATTTTGTTGTCCTTGTGTAACCTCTGGAATTAAAACATTAGCATTTAAACATGTGAACATTTTTTCTGTTTCCCCTGTTGCCTGCTAGCTATTTCTATTCGCTTTAGTGATAATAATTTTCGATTGGTACAACAACAGGCCCACACTATTCCCCTAGTACCTGCTCTACACCTATAGCAGATGGCAGACTTTCTTCAAAGGAGCAATATTCCCTGACGTCATCGTTCTGTAAATTAAAGGAATGGGCGTTCATGAGGGGGAAGGAAGAGCTTCAAGTAAGAAATGTATTTCTAAAGGACTTAAAGCTCTGATTGATTACAAGCATTCAGTCAGCCTCATTCACCTCGGACAGTTTCTCTCAGTCTCCCACGATGCAGAATTGAGGTTTTTTGCTGCCATTGTGTGCATCACGCTTTCCCACCCACTTCCTCTCCCGTCTCGCCCCAGCCTTCAGCCGTGCCTTCTCCATAGCAAGGCAGTTGCTATGGGGAGAACCCAGAATGAAACGCTGAGAGCTGCTGGTGAGCTGTAAAGTTGCTCGTAAGGAACAGAAGTTACTTTGTTTTGGCTGTGCGGTTTTACACCTCAGAGCAAATTGCCGTTGCTTTTGATGTAGTTTGTTCTTTCTAGAAAACTAGTGATTCTATACCCCAAAGGTTTAGCTGGCAAATCTAACAAAGTTAACTCAATTCTAGTCTTTTGTGGGGTACCTTAAACAGAGTGAAGTTTCTTTGTGTTCCCTTTCTAGATAGGTAAGACAACAGTTTTTAAAAATGTGGTGGTTCCTAAATGCTAATGTTTGCCAGGTCTGCAACGTAGAAAAGATTTTCTTTTTAATCTAATGGAAAGACAGAACAGACCTCTGAGTACATGGAAATGGGGCATTTCACTGCTAATCCGATTCATCACTTCAATTTGTAAACGGGATCTCCAAACTGTCAGCCACGTCTTTGTATTTGCAGGAGAGATTTCCTTCCTTTATTCGGAGAGCATTACGTGTCACTGTCATTACCGCACAGTAGCCCCTCTGGGCCGACTGAAAAGGTTCACTAAGCATAAATCGATGGGAGTTCCCACAGAGGTTTCTGTCTTTCTGTTGGAAATGTATAATCAACTACAGGGCTGGATTACAAATTGGGTTGGTGCTTTTTATTCTCTGGTACCAAATTCAGGAGTTCTCCGCTCAATAGTCTCCTAAACGCTGTAATACAGAACAGACGCAAAATTTTAGAAGTGGGAAGTTGTGGCATTAGTCTCTCTTTGAGTCTCTGCCATTAATAATGCAACACTGGGTAACCAGTTCTCCTGCTTTATATTTGGAGATTATTCTATAAAGCTTAAATTGCTACTGTTACTTTCCTGGGGCAGAAAGGGGAACTTTTCTGCCTGAACTGCCGTAACCTTTTGTAGTCTTGGTGAGATTCTGATCATGTGAGCACCAAGATGTGGTACCACTGAATAAAAATTTCTGCTAGAATGGGCTAATAACAACTTTCCTTGGCCACTCTGGGCACCACAAAGTCTGAGAGAAATTGTGTGTCTTCAAACAATATGCTTAATAGTAATACCATGTGCCAAATTACCTTTTCCCTTTCAAATTACAAACCCAAACGTTGATTGGTTTGAAACAAATCTTTCTAACAAAAGACAAATGGAGAGAAGCGTCAAGTGGTTTGAGGAGCAAAAATGAAGAAAACTCATTGTTGTGAAGGCTGAACATCAGACCGTTGAGATCACGCTTACGCAGTCTCCGATGGTTTGAAACTCATGTGATGCCCATGAATGAGCCAGTGCTATTCCAGTTTGAAGGGAGAAACCCTCTGTTTCTGGAGTTACTAACCAGGTGGCTGGTTGTCTAGGTTGAAGTCTGGAAGAGCTCATTTGGCTTTGAAATAATACAGGTTTTTTTGGCTTCCAGGAGGAGTTCTGTTACCCAGTGGAATGTCTGGCTCTGACGGTGGAGGAGGTTATGCACATCCGTCAGGTGCTGGTGAAGGCAGAGCTGGAAAAGTATCAGCAGTATAAAGATGTCTACACTGCTCTGAAAAAAGGAAAGGTAGGGCTGGGTCCGTGGAGGCTCTGAAGCTTATTGAGGGAGGCCGGACACACGAGCCTCCCATTCACACATTTGTTTCTTACCCTGTACTGGAGAAAAAGAAGGAATATCCACCAAACTCCCCCTAACTGTGTAACATACAGGTCAGCTTCCTTGAATTTTGTGCAGAAACATGGAAAATTTCCATGGAAGTACCTTATTTGTTTAGATTGTCTATAAAAATGCAGTAGTGTTTGCAATTATCAGAGCGTATCTGTATGTGTATGTTTTAAACTTCATTGACTGAAGTGGTTTCTGCCCCGATGCCTTCTGCAGTATTTCTATTCCAGAAAACAGAGTAACAGCTAGCAGCGGGAAATTACCACAGGTTTTTCATATGAATCCTCACTGTCAAGCAAAGAGGAGATGAAAGCCTTCAGAGAAGTCAGAGAACATGTGACCCCAGAAGGAGGTTCAATATTAGATAACTCATTAACTAACATTTTTTTCCGTAACTGCAGATTGGGAATTAGTATTCAGCAGTAGAAGCAGTGTCCTTTTCTCCCATTTTTGACTTGTGCTTCTTGAACATCTCCCACAAGTGTATTTTGACTTCACGGTGTATTTCACCTATAGGCCTACCTGTGTCTATTATACAGATTTAATTAAATGATTTCATACATTTAAGGCAGAGGAACAAAAATCTTAATACGTTGTTCATTAGATTCACCTGTTGCATATCGTCACGATACATAAAACTTAGTAATGAGCTTTTATCAAATCTCAAAGTTGATGCTTTAATTAATTTACCCCACTATTAAAATGGTTCACTTTTATTTCTAAACAAATTTATCTAGTCTCACCTGAGTCTTTGTATCTCGATACGTCATCTTTTTTTTGACTGCAAATCTTTTCATTGTTCAATGCCTTTCTTTCCTAGAAATGTTCTTAAACTGTGATCCCTACCTCCTTTGAATAAACTGAATAGATGGGATTTATCATCCCACTATAAAGCAGGTTTTCCTCAAGTAAGATTGTTATAATAGCTCTTTCCTGCACCTCCTCTAGTTTTCAGGAACGTAGGATTGGGAGAAAATGATCAAATGTTATCACAGGCAAAAACGTTTGTGTCCCAGAGCCTGACCCAGATGGTTAGGAACAATCTGCAGCCTAAATGTATTCATGATTGAATTTATGCCCATTTATTCTTGTGTTCTTCAGTTGTAACACGTACCCTTCCTTACCGGTGTTACTCGTACTTTTCCATTGCTTTTTTGTGTAGTAATGATAGAAACATCAGTGAGGGAGGAATAAAAATAAGTTAATAATTAACTGGCAAGTATTTAATTCGGGTAAAAAATTTGAAGAGTATTTCTAAATATATGAAGATACAATTCTGGACCAATCTTTTCAATGTTGTCTTAGAAGTATGGACCCCAGAACTGATGTAGCGCTGCAACTGTGGTCTCACTGGTAGCAACTGATAGATGAAGTCATTATTGTGTGGGACTTTGCCTAACGTTGTGGACTCCTCTGTTCTTCTTTTAGCTCTGCTTTTGCTGTCGAACAAGAAGGTTTTCTTTCTTTACCTGGTCTTACACTTGTCAGTTCTGTAAGAGGTAAATATTTAGTATCTGTTAATAAAGAAGTACCATTTCAGAGCGAAAAATACTGATTTATATGTTAGAAACTTACAAATGTTTCCACTGCATACTGTTGATTTTTGTTTCTGTGACAGTCAAGGTTTAAAAAAAACAATGCAAAACCAGATCCTTCCTAAGTGACAGAATTGCTTCCTAGGATTGAAACTCCAGGCTAAAAGTGAGAGAACACCCATTTGTTCTTTTATGCTCATGGGAGAGCAAGATGGGGTTTATTCAGACTCCTCAATCAACACTTCCATAATCTCTGTTGTTGTGGAAAACATTTCAAGGCAATTTACCTTTTGGATTATTTTTGGAGTTCTCGTGGGTGGAGAAGAGAAGAGGAATAATTTGCAGATAAAATGAAAAATGTTGAGTCGAACAGTGAGACAATAACTCTGGAGATGTATGGAATCACTAATTTATTGCATCACTTAGTAAACGAGGTTGCTTTAGAGGAAAAGCAGCTTTTTTTTTTCCCCATCTTTTAATTTAGCTGTAGTTCTTTTTAGCATTTCTTCTTGCTTTTGGCTTCATGTTCTCGTTGAAGTTATTACATTGAAGAAGCTTTAAAAATAAAAATGTTTATTTAAGGGGAGGATGGGGGAGGATTCTAACTCCTGAAAACATTTATCCCTTATTCTTGATTTAAATGTAATTTTGCCCAACTAAATGATTCATGCTTTTGCTTTCTCACACAGGCCTGTATGCTCACAGTGTTGCAAAAAAGTAAGTAAATAAACTCATGGTTAGAACCTTTCTACAAAGCTGTCGTCTTTGTAATGATACTGCATGTTCCTTCTGCTGTTTTCACAACAGATGCGGTTGCCATCAAAGCCATATTCTACTCTCCCCATCTTCTCGCTGGGACCTTCAACCTTGCAAAGAGGAGAAAGTTTCATGAGGCCAGAGAAACCCTCTACCAGTCACCACCGATCGCTGCGGAGCATGTCCAGGTGAGAAACAACTCTACTCACCTGCGTCTATTGGAAGCGCTTCCTAAATGTTTCCTCCTGAGTTATCAATCATTATTACTGGCGACCTGTTTTGTAGTTATCAATGTTTCTAATACTTGTAATATCTTTTCGGAAGCCTGAAAATCATGTCTCTTCCACACATTGCTTTGATTTACAGAAACAGCAATACTAACAGTGTCTTAAAAGGTGAAAAATAATACGCGTCTGAGACAACTGCATTTCTGTAGCACCTCTGCAAAAATATCCTTAGCGTGTCTTTTTCTGGTGTGAATAGACTCTCCAGAGAGAAATCTCACAGGCTAGAATCACTCACTGAATGGAAATCCAATGATGTCTTGCACAGATTTATCTTTTTTTTTCCTAATTTTTTCTAATTCTAATTTTCACCCCCCTTTTTTTTTTGCATTGACATTATGAAGTTATCTACTGGTTTTATATCTTATATGCAAATGGTCGACGAAGTTAATCCAACAAATTAGATATAAAAGAAATGCTCCTTTTTGAGGGGATCTACAGTATAAACCCTCTGCATAAATCACTAGTGCTACAATGCTGAGCCAAGTTAGCCAAACACATCATCTATTTATAGTTATTAGGAATGTTGTTTTTGTTAAGGTAAACATTACACATGCCCTCAGTTAGTGACCCTGCAACCAGGCAGAGGCTGTCCTCTCCAGTGTTTGGTCTCCTGGTGTCGTTTTTGGGACAGGAGAAAGGAAGAGTTGAATCAAGACCGTTCTGATGTGCTGTTGCGTGAGAGTGTCCCTTGGGTCCCACTGCCACACTGCTAAATAATGTGACAGGTCCTGCTTTTTTGCCTTTCAGGTTGACCTCGAGGTCCAAATCTGTGGATAAGTCACATGAAGAGTTTCCCAAAGAATTAATGGAGGACTGGAGCACGATGGAGGTGTGTGTGGACTGCAAGAAGTTTATTTCAGAAATCATCAATTCAAGCCGGCGCAGCCTATCTCTGGCCAACAAGCGAGCCAGGTTAAAAAGGAAAACACAGTCCTTCTACATGTCGTCACCGGGAACCTCTGAATACTGCCCCTCTGAAAGGACTATCAATGAGATCTGAGCCTTGTGCCTTTTTCTTTGCTTTTGTCTTCATGAGGTCATCATCCATGAGCAAGGTCACCGAAACTGGATTGTCATTCCGTTGCTTCATTTCACTTCACAGGCTTGAACTTGCAGTAGATCACAGGATTTCCTACTCCAGCGGTTCCCAGAGATGCAGGACGCTACGTTTAGGTCTGTGCAGAATGATACGCAACGGGTTAGCTGCTCGCACTGGAAGAAAATCAGTAGTTTGAAATTGTTGCCTCTTTTGTACGTGTGCGTTGAAACTAGAAAGCCTTTTCTTGCTTTCAGTCTTTTTTTTAACCATGCTTTGAATCATTTTTCAGGAGGTGAGCTGAAAACGTATGTTTAATGGAGAACCAAATCTAACAAAGTGTCAGCGTTAGCGCGGTAGCACACAGTAAGTCACGTTGGCGTTACCACCCCAGTAATGCTCACGTCCTTGTTGAAACGGGAAAGGGTCGTATCGCGCACCAGACTCCGAGTGTGAGCGACCGCGGTCGAAGCCGCCTCTCTCTGAACCGTTTCGGTTGCTCTGAGATCAGGGTTCAGCACGGGCCTCAACAATGTCTGCGTCCTAGAGCGAAACACGTGGCGAAGACGCTGTTCGCCCGCCTGGCTGGCCGTTCCTCTGAGCTGCTGGACTTTCTAAGCCTTAGTGTACTGCTAAGTGTCTCCTGAGCAGGCGTCTGTAGTTCACTTTCTATCTCGAATGTACGATGACGACTACTAGTAGCGGTGAATTTTAGTAGTAGGCAGAGTTGTACAGTTTATGGGGAGGGTGGGAAATAAGGGAGGCTTCTGATTTTAACTGAATACCTGTCAAGTTGTTCTCGTGGTTCCTCAGAGAAAACGGTGGGTAAGGTGTACATTTGTATTATAACGGAGCACACAAATACTGCTATAGTTACGTCTGACAGCGTATCTGCTGATAACCCCGTTTTTTCTGGGGTTTATAACTTGGCTGTAAAAATTCGTGTTCTGCTGAAATTTGGGACAGTGCTGTCTCAGATTGGGAGCAATCTCTCTCTATTTTTTCTTTTTCCTTTTTTCATTCTTTTTCTGGTTTTATTTCATGTAGGAAATAGAGCTAGACTAGTTATTTAGAAGTTCCAACAATGTTACAACGTTAACTGACATCTCATGCTTTTTTGCACTTTTTTTTATATTCAAAATACTTTTTTTAAATTCAGGCATAGCCAGAGTTTAGTCAATAATCTGGGGCCAGATCGTTTTCGTATTCAAAAACAAGCTAACGTAGCCAAGTTATTAATACTTGAAAATCAACTACTGTAACTTTTTCATAAATTTTTTAATACCCTGAGGCATATTTAATATCTATATAGCAGTGTATTATAGAATGACATAGCAGAAAAGTTTCAGATCTATTTATTAACATTTCTATACTTCGGATTAATGAGAGATACCTCAGAACTGCTCCAAAGTAGCTGGGACTAGGTTTCCATAACATGATTTTAAAGACGTATTCATCAAAACAGATTCTCCTGTCCGAATCTCGTGCATGGAAAAGCCCAAGAAAAGGCAGGCTGCAGTAAGGCTCAGTGCAGAGGCCGTGGGGCACAAGGGGTGGTTGGCTCCCGTGCGGTAGCTGGGCTCCAGTCCCACTGTGGGCTGTCTCCTGCTGCCCAGGGGAACAAGGCATCCACTTTGTCCTGATTTTGGCTGGGACAGAGTTAGTCCGCAATTCCGGATGAGTAAGAGGCCCGAAAAGAGAGTGAGAGGGACATAGAACTCTGAGAGAATGAGAATCTGAGAGTCCCCCTAGAAGACTGAGATTTCAACTTCCTGGTCAACCCTCATCTATACACTGGACATGACACTGCCTGATATGGAATACTCCATTGGCCAATTTGGCCCTCCATCCTAAGTCTAAGTTCAAATCGTAAGGGGAGTTGTGGACCCTCTGTCCCAGCCATGCTCCCCCCCAGCCTGTTGTGCTCCCGCACGCTGGCAAGAACACAGGAAGCTGAAAAGTCCGTGATGTCTCAGCACCAACTACAAACATCAGTGCGCTATCAACGTTCTTCTCATAAGGAATCCCAGACTAAAACCAAAACACGGAGCTCTTCTAGCTGCTAAAAAGAAAAACTAACTCTGTCCCAGTCAAAACCAGGACACCCTTCAAAGTATATTTGCATGTTACATCGCCGCCTTCGGAGCAGCCACTCAGATCATATCTTCTAAGTTGATTTGAAAAGCACATGCAAAAGTCTCCTTACACCTTCCCAGGGACTCATCGATCCTTATTTTTCTTTAAACACCCCCTTGGCAAATGAGAATTTTTGCATATGCAGGGATTATTGAATTAATGTTTTTAATTTTTTCTGAACCAATGCGAACAGGAAAAGCAGGGCTCAAGGCTAACTCTCCCTCTTAGCTGTCCTGTGTAAGGTCAGCTGTCACGGCCCTCTCCTCGGGGAGTGTTCCAAGACAGTCTGGAAGAGTGTCTTGCATGTTAAAGCACCTGGAGGTAAGGATGTAGAATTGCAGGAGGTGAGCAGCTCGGACAGGCTGATTTGAAAGATCTGCTGTTGCTGGAAGGGTCACCTGATCTCAGTCACATCAGCACTTATTCTTGTTTCTGTGCCAAAACCAGGCCGTGTGTTGGCTGCACAGTGCATCTGGAAAACTAGACTGAAAGAAATGCAGGAAATCTCACTTTGCATCTCCCCTGTTGTTGTTCATACCATTTTCTTCTGGAAAAGCCCCAGCCACAGGTTATAATCGCTCTAATCCTCTGCTCGCAGTCCTCTTCCCTGGCATCCTCAAGCCACTGAGGTGCAGGGTATCCAGCACGCTTATTTTCCCCTTTGAGAGGGACGTAGGATGTTGCAGAGCAGGCAGGATCAAGGACTAAGTAAATCCCGAGTGTGCAAAGGGAAGTGAGTCCCTGACGGCATGCCCGCGCCATCCCCGAGCTGTATCCCTGCTCCGCCTCAGCAGTGTCCAGGGCGGCTCTGGGGACACGGCGGAGCCTCGGCGTCCAGCTTTGCCCTCCCGGGATGCCCAGCAGCCCTTGGCTCAGGCCGGGCTCTGCCCCGCTAGGCAGGGCGCCAATGCCGAACAACAACGCAGTGGTTGTACAAACAGCTCCATGTTGCTCACGCGGAGCTGCCGTGGGGCAGGGCTTGGATACCTCCTTTTTTCCCTGGAAAAAAACACCCAGGCTGCTGACACACGTTGTGGCAAGCGCCGGAAAATGTGGCGCGGAGGGCTGCCTCCCCGCTTCCCTCCCATCCCTTCCTCTCTGCCACGGTTGCTCTGCATTATCCTGGCGTTTCGTTCCGCAGAAGAACGTTGGTTTGTCGCGCAAAGCCTGAAGGAGCTCTGTTGCCCGGCTCTCTGCGGAGTGGGCTATTTTTAGCTTCCCATCTCGCTGCTTGCGCCAGCGTCCCAAATCCGCCGCAGCCATTCGCCTGCGTACCCCGCGGTGCTGCCCAGCGTGTCCTGTTTACGGTCTGAACTTGCCATTAGCATCAGAGGATGAAATCAGCAGCTTGTAAATATGTGTAATATATTTATTAATGTTTAGGCAGTCTCCATCAATCATGCAATGGGAATTAACTTTCCCATATTGTTTTAAAAAGGAAATGAGTCTTATTTATATGTGTCTTGGCTATTATCTTTATTAGAGTTAACACCTTCAGCCCCCTGATACAGTTTGCACTCCACAGGCATTTTAGAGTGAATTACTGCTAAAAAAAAAGCGGGACTAGCACAGTGAGCTCCCTTCCGTGAGTTTTTAAAATCTTTTCATTTTTTTTTAACTTTATTAATATGCCCAGGGTCTGTTTGAACACATCACAGGAGATCTAAGGAGTTAAAAAATGCCACTGGCAGCATCAGTCTTGTTTTTTATGTGAACCAGGTTTTGGAGAACTGAAAGCCAGCTCTGCCGCACGGCGGCGGTGGAGGAAGCGAGCAGGCCTTTGCTGGAGCTCTCAAACCTGACCTTCCGAACACTCGTGGTGACAACAGCGCTTATGGGTTTTGTTGGTTTTTCCTCCTTCCCCATTACTTTCTTTACACAGGAAGGGGTGTTACCTGGCGAAAATAAAATGCCTTTCCATTATAGCCCTTGTGTTAATTCTTCACGTGTAAGCAGATGTAAAGCTTCTCTTTCTCCTTCTGTTTTTCACACTTTTGTAAGATCAGTCAGACGTTTCTTTTGGCAAAGAATTGTTAATGAAAATGACTGAATAACAGCTGAACACTGGCTGGGCTGCATGAAGGGTCGGAAACACGTCCAAGTACTCTTAGAGTAGCAATAAAACTGCTTGTGTAACCCCAGCGACGTGATTAGAATGTAGGGATTGTTTCCAGCCAGCTCCTTCCTTCACCAGCGTGTTGCTACTTCAAACACTGATGGTCTGCAGGTAAGGTACGCTCGTCCTGCATGTAGTACAGGCTTTGGGAAATCTCTGTCCTCATCTTTGGGAGAGAAATGCTGGCAGTCTTTTGGAGAGGTTTTTGATTGGTTTTAGTTTTTAAACCAGAAACGGAGACAATGTTTTTATCACAGTTACTATGTTGTTCTCTCTTCCCTTCCAAGCTCCCCTCTTTTCCCAGGCAAGTTCAGCATCAGCTTCCATAGTTAGTTACTGCCTGCATGCGTATAGGTTAAAACTAATTTAAAAGCTCCAACTTCAGACTCCCGACTACTACCTTCATGCTTTACCTCATCCAGCAGCTCTGTACGTCTTTTAGAAATGTCCTTCTGATGAGCTCAGTCTCATTTGTGAAACAGTGACAGCACACAGGCATGAGGGAAAGGTGCTGCAACTGTACGCTCTGGTGCTACAGCATATGGATTATGTTAATGTTACCATAAAATTCTGTAGTATTTCCATGTTGGCAACTTGGAGCTGCTCTGGTTTATTTCTTCTTCTTCTGTATATATGTATCTTAAGGCCAATCTGAGAATGTTTATGAATATTGATTCCAGCTATAAAGATCTGTTTTGTTGTTTCTGTCTGATTTTTACTACTGTGTTTCAGTCTTTTGGGTACCTGAAACTGCTGTTCACCAAAATTTCCTGGTAGGAGAACCACGAGAGAAGGGCATTAGCTCAGTCTGACACGATACACAAAGACACAAAACCCGTTTCCTGACACACAAGTGTAAGTTCATGAGCGTTGTCCTGATGGCAGCTTGATGGAGTCCAGCCCCACGGCCCACTCCCGCTGGGAGAGCTGGTGCCAGCTACTGCGTACGAGGGGCGGGCACTGAGCGGCGCCTGCAGGCTCCAGCA